TAATTAATATTTTAATTAATCAAATGAGTTCATTTGCAAAAAGAGAAAAAATAAAATAAATACTGAACATAAAATAAGTGAAATAATTTCTGCATGTGTGTGTTACACAGCGTGATTTGATACAGTACCGTATTTTCCTGCATTGGGTGGCACTCCTCGGTAACCGCTTTGAATTCTGCTCTGGTGCAGTTGCTCTTCTCAATCTCAAACTGCAATTTATACCTGAACCCAGCAACCACCTACACACAGAGACGATTCACAACACCACAGCATTAACCTCGATGTTCCTGAGGTCAGCCAGCCGCAGCCAACAGCCCAAGCCGACAAAAAAACAGTCCAGTGGATTAAATGAGCTGATTTCACATCATATTTGTCCATTCGGAAAACGCCTCTCCCCAAATATATTCCATTCAGGCCATTGGTTTTATCAGTGAACACAGGAATCAATCAGGTGAGCGGCAGGATCATGAAAATAAATCATTTACCTGTTTTGTTGCCGATGTCAAGTCCCTAAAGATGAAGAAATGCATGTGATTGATCATGCCATTGGCTTTCGACAAAGAATGAATGAGCGGTTCCCTCAGTTCTTCATGATGTAACTCGATCATTTCAGGGCAGCCCAGACAAGGGGCGACTTTAGAGGAAGCAGCTGGCTCAGCTGTCAGAGAGCGTTCAGGAAAGACAGTGAGTCAAATCTGATATATGCTTCCATAGAGGCCAGTCTTCAGCTTTCAATACAAATAACTGACAAACTCCTGGTGAAGAACAATTCAAAAAGGAGAGATCCACCAATCGGAGTAGTCAGTGTTGGAGATGGAAATTGCACATTTAAACTACTGATATAAATATGTAAATGCTTGACTGTTTTATGTAATGACGGCAATACTAGAAATGAAAAAAAAAGGGGGTTCAAAGTTTTCCTGAGGGAATCTGAATCTTGTAGTTTGTAGTTACAGCGGTTTGCGTTTCTAGGGCAGAAAACTGCTATCGTTTTCTTTTTTAAAACTTTTACTATGGAAAAAATGGCTAAGTGCACTTATAACGGTAAAGTATAAAAGCGATTAAAGCAGTCATAAAACAACATGCGACATACCTGAACAGTCGTGTAACAGTAACTCTTGATCTGCTTCTGTGAACAGGACTTTCGCATGACAGATTCTGAGCGCCTGAGGAACCACAACATATTCATGTACTATAATCATGGCCAAAGGCTGCTGTAAGACACTAATTACCAGCGTTGGGGTAATGCATTACAAGTAACGCGAGCTATGTAATCAGATTACTTTTACAAGTAACTAGTAAAGTTACGCATTACTTTTAAATTTACAATGAAATATCTGAGTTACTTTTTCAAATAAATACTACACATTACTTTGTTTTCCCATGTATTGACTAACTTCTCTCCTGTCCCCGTGTTGAGAGGAATCAGGCGTGAGTGCAGAGACAGAGGCGCTTCTTTCAGCCCCAGACTTATGCTGTGAAAGGGTCTTTACAGCAGTTTTTGTTATTAAAAAACAAATAAGCAAGCCCAGCCCAGGTGACAAAAAGTAACGCAAAGTAGCGTAACACACGACTTTCCATAAAAAGTAACTAAGTAACGCAATTAGTTACTTTTTAATGGAGTAACGCAATATTGTAATGCATCACTTTTAAAAGCAACTTTCCACAACACTGCTAATTACAAAGTATTTGATTGTGATTGGAAACATATTTGTATAATTAACACTAAACTGCATAACTGACATAATTGACTGCTGCCCAATGGATTTTAGACTTCCTACATAATTGTTTCTAAATGCGAGGGTTTGTTTGGCGATAAAAATGTAGATTATCATGTAGGTGACTTCATAAGATCTTACCTTATCCGCTTGTTGCAGATAGTCACATTCATGCCAAACCTTGTCTGCTCCTGCGGGACAATCTGTCTCTCTGCTTGTGAACCGTACGAACACAACTTCTGCCGATTCATTCTGAGCCTGTAAACATTACTGTATTATGCTACACTCTTAACAATAAAGGCTCTTTATTGGCATTGATGGTTCCATGAAGAACCTTAAACATTAAAGGTTCTTAATAGTGGGAAAAGGTTCTTTAAATTATTCAAATATTCCTCATACTAAGAAAAAAAATGGTTCTTGTAAGAGCTGATCACTGAAAGGTTGGAACCAAAAATGGCTCTTCTGTTGCATTGCTACACTCTCAAAAATAAAGGTTTCTAAAGGGGGTTTTCGCAGCGATGCCACAGAAGATGAAGAACCTTTGAGTGAACAGTTCTTAAAAGATCCATTTTTTCTTAGCATGATGAACATTTTAACTATCTAAAGAACCCTTTGTGCATTGATAAGGTTCCATGGATGTTAGAGGTTCTTCACGGAACCACCAATGCCAATAAAGAGTCTTTATTTTTAAGAGTGCCGGAGAACCTACAGCCGCTTAGAGCTGAAATGTTATACAATGCAAAGAGCAAAACTACATCCTACCTTCGTAGCCTCCAGGATTTCATAGAGAGCAAGTTGAGCACCTTCAGTTAATATCTTGTTATGCGCAGAAAGAGTTACATTCACAACATCCTCCACACGTTTATCATTACAGGGAATTTTAATGTCAGTTTGTCCACGTCCTCCAGAAGAATAAAGCCAAGCTAGCGCGAAAACCGTCAAGATCTTGTCCCGCATCATGCTGAAAACCCAGCAGTGTTGGAGTGAGAGGGTTCAGAAGTGTCCGCGCTGGACTCTATCGGCCCCTGTAATGATTTACTCACTGTTAGAAAGCTCAGCTCTGTGTCTGTATCTCCAGCTGTCCAAATATGGTGCGACGGTATTCAGCAGATGTAATGCAAATGTTTACTCGTCTGAGACGCTCTCCACAACACGCACAGTTCTCTGAATCACCGCTGCAAAACAATGATAAGAGACCTTCACTGAGACCTTTACATGACGGTGCACAAACATACATCGAGACACAGTTTTAACATTTTGGAAGACAGTCTGTTCCAAAAGATCAGTCCAGAGCGGTCCATGTGTTCTGGACTCAAACACTGGCTATCAGGCCCAAAGAAAGTGTGTGCATGTCCAATTTGTCTACAAATAGATGATTGATTACAGTATTTATTGCTTTTTGGATTCATTTGACTGTTTTATCTCAACTTTTCATATTAGTGAAGTTAAAGATTTGTTTAGTGCTTCATAACAGAGACAAACACACAGCATTCAGCAGTGTTAGAATTCAAAGTTGCGTTAAGTAAATTGACAAAAGCAGCAGTGTGTATTTAAGGCCATACTTTGTCCCCTCTACCTTTGACCCGTGCTGTGTTTTGCTCTCATGGAATTAAAGACATGACCAGATTCAGTCTCTACAGAGTTAGTTAAACATACTTAACATACAATAAACATACTGATGAGAATTTATTTATGAACAGATCATTTTTATACATAAATGGAAAAAGTAATGATGTAATAAAATAATAATGTGAAATGCTACAGTAAAAAACGTTTAATGAACAGTATTTTATAAAATAATAAACTCTATTAATTAACTTTACATTAGCATATATATTAAATATTCATATTATATTTAACAAGACAATAATTACATTAATCTATGTTGTTTATATTCATTTATTTATTTAATAAAAAGCAGTCACCTTAATTTACAATGAAAAACATTAAAAACATTGTGTGATGCATCATATTGAATTATATTTTAATAGTTATATTTCACTTGTATTTGTTTTTAGTTACGTGCTTTGGAGAGTTTTATATTTAATACATTATAAATTAATTAGGCTATCTTTAATACAGAAACATAACTGACATAACTTAAAAATGACTTAAAAATGAAGCCATCAGGTTGTCTTAAATAATCTTTTAGGAGGAATGCTCATCGTGTGAGATGTACAGATGTCCATTTAGAGGTCAATAACATCCAACAATGCATTTTTTGGCATCAAAATGACTACTTGCAAAAAAAATGTTTAATGCAATTTACATGGTCAACGGTTTTTTTACTTTTAAGCACCACAAAAAAACGTTGAATTCAGAAACTGAAAACATGTTTGTCATTAAAGGGTATTCAAGTCATTTTTAAATTAACTGCATTTTTATGTGTTTTTGAATTATAATCTTGACAACAACACAAAGTGTTGCATTCTTCCATAGATGTAGTAATTATTGGTAAGATAATTTTCTAATTAAATTATAACAACATGGATCGCACTTACTCATTTTAAACTTTAAAATAAATAAATACAAGAAACACACACACACACACACACACACACACACACAGACACACACACACACAGAGAGAGAGAGAGTTCCACAACCAACCAAAGTGGAAAGGGAAGTAAAAAAGTGAACAGAGCACCCAAAGTGTGAACAGACGTGTTTGGGTGATCTGCATCGTTCACACATTTCAAAATGCAAAAAATGACACATTTACACAAAACAGTTTTATTCCATTGTGTCCTGAAGTGCTGTTTTTAATAAATGCTCTTATAGTTTCAGTTTTGTTTTTCAAAACACATGGTTGAACAGTGACTAAAGTTGCTGATAGAAGATTTGAAACGCGCACATACCGAAGCTCCACGAACATGGAATTTAGTCAAGTTATTGGTAACTGAAAGAAAAACAACATGTTTTATTATCTATACGCGAGCGGTGCTTGCTGTGACATTGAACCCTTTGAGGCATTGAATGCATTTTGCTCCAACGAAAAAGTGTGGCAAATATTAGTATGAACTGACCTGTCGGTGGCACTAAATTTTGGGCAAGAGCCCAAACTGGCACCATGAATGTCCAGACCCAAGTCTATCACTTGTTTTAATCAAACAGCTGTCTAGATTGCTTAGAAATTCAATTTAGAAATACAACTCTTGATCTGAAATATGATCTATACCATTATATAGTTATTATACTCATATCATACTTGGTTTACTAATCGTGGGCTTGGCTAAAGATGCTTCCTGATGTCAGACAACTGCTGACAACATCAAAGCATAACTGTCCTCCTTCACAACCACATGTGCATTATTTTACCACGGCCTCAGAGCTGATACCATAAGAGCAACTGCCCTGAAACACAAGAGCCCCTTTCTTAAAATGAATTACACAAGTCGCCGCATTGCTCTGCTTCTTCTGCTGTCCTCCATGCATTGGCTAGGTGAGTTGATTTGCCTTTTTATTTAAGTCAAAACGGTGATTTTAATGGTAAATAATCCTACAAACTTTGCATATATTCTTATAAATTATGATTTATAATGAGTTTATAATTAGAAATGTAGATTTATAAATAGATTGTTAATAAATTAGTAAGTTCTAGTAAGTTCTAGTAGTTCTAGTAAGCCTAATTTCTGAGAACCCAGAACAATGCAACACTGAGTCAGTGTAACAACATCCATAATTGGTCCTGGTAGCTCTGTGTTGGTTAACACTTCACGAAATGGTGCTAAAGCCCCCCGTTGTTTCGTGCTTACAGGAAGCTCTCTAGCCGCAAAGCCTCTTCACCTTTCAGCTTCAGCAGATGAAGTTCCTGCCATCATCAACAGTGATCCTCCCATCACTAATCTGTCCAAGAGACCCGTTCTTCAGCCCAAAGAAACCGCGCCGCCTCAGTTTCTGTGCACCTTGAGGAACCCCCAGGGCAAAGTGTGTGTGCGGGCCAGTTTGGGAGTGGAGTATGTGGTGAGAGAGAATAAAGTAAGCTTGTTATTTTCTCAGCATTTTTATTCAGCTTCTCAGCATGTTCTAGCAGGGGGTGAGAACTCACTTGGTTTACCACCAACATTGTCAACGGCTCACTGCACTGTCAGAAAAAACACGCATCCTCAAGAGTACACGTTGCTAATACTTTACATTGTTCATTTCATGGTGGGATGAAATAGCCCCATAATTAAGACAAACTATAAAATGAAAAACTTTGTTTTTAATGAGTAATCCCTTGTAAGAAAGAAGTGCTGTTAATTGTACTGAATGTGCACCTACAGTGAACCTCAAATCTTAAGCTTATTTTTAAAACACTACTTGCAAATAATATAATAATAATGGAATAAAAAGCCCCTTAAGTGTACTTTAAGTGTAGATTCTATTCTACTGCCATCACTTACATTTATTTAATTCCAGTTGTGTTTAATAGCCGCAGGAGGTGCGTAGACCCCCATAATGTTTGTTCATGTGATGTTTGTCAAAACTGTCCTCTCATAATCTCTAGCACAGCCAGTGGATCAAAACGTCCCCAAGTTTTCTGTGAATATCTTCTTCACTGTGTGCATGCATTCAGTAGACTCAAAGAGTACAATGTCGAACATAGGCTACGTCTACAAATTCTGTGCAGCTACACCAAATTTGAGTGCCTTGATCTTTTTAGATCAACGATATTGTCAATTTTACAGTATTTCCATACTAACATGATGTTGGTCCAGTAATCACACTGCTTAACTTGTATTCCAGAAGAACTATTATTTCAACATGAATCCCAGCTCAACACGAGCCACGGGATTCTGTGGGAACCAAAAGTCTATTCTCTCACTGGACTTTGATGGTGGACATCTGGAGTTCACTTTCATCAAGGTACCTACAGTAGCTTTTATCTCTATGATAAGCTTTCTCTCTGGGGTTAAACATGTACAAAACAAGCAATCTTAATCAACATACAATGCAATATTTCTTCACACTCCCAGGAAGGCGATCTTTCCTATGTGAGCACTATCAAAGGGCTTCTGAGACCAGCTCCCCCTTGTAAAAATTGCCAGAGTAAGTATAAATTACACTACAACCTTTGCAAACACACTCATCACGCACTCACGATTATTCTTATCCTTAGAATATCTTACTATTTTATCTAGGGCTTGACAATAAAGAGTTAACATGTGGCAAAAACATGAGTTTCGCCTACCTGTCGAGAAGAAACTCCACACACTCGGTGTCTCGATTGAAACCCAAACATTCCCTCAAGTTCCTCCGTCTTCTAAAAACACAGCCGATGTTTACCCTTGTTATACACCATTGTCTGTCTCTGTGTATTTTGGCAAGTCTTCAGATTTATTTTTCCCATGTATAGTGTCAGCCACGTTCGCAAAAAACAGCCTCTGGCTCAGCCTGCTACAGTAGCCACGTCCCAGTGTCTCACTATTGGTTGAGCTGGAAAGAGATTGACAGATTTGTGCATAATGCTCTAATGGTACGTTTACATGACAACAATGTACTAAAAACTAAAGTTTTGCATACAGATGACAACGTTCAACATTCATGGGATCCACGAAAATGACTAAAAATGCTATATTATTCATGCCAGGCCAGTAGGTGGCAATGTCACTTTGTAAAGAAACACTACGTGTCTGCGCACATAGCTATAAACTGAACATGTAATATGCATGTGCATGACATCACAGTTTTCACAATTGGATGGGGCCAAAAGTCTTTAAAAGGAACGTGTGAAATTTGTCCGATTTAGGCCCCGTCCGCACGGAGACGCGTTTAGCTGCATACGCATAAATTTTGTATCGTATAGGCGTTTCGTCCAGACGGATCCGGCGTTTTGGGAGAGTGAAACTGATATTTTTTGAAACCGGGTCCCAGAGTGGATAAATCTAAAAACGCCGCCCTTGCATTTTCATGTGTACAGCGAATCCGTATAATTTATGAAATCATCAGCCCATGTCTCGCCCCTAGTCAGACACCGCTACGCTACGCCACGCCACGTAGCAGCAACAAAAACATGAACAAACACTGAACGATTGTCTTTTTATTAACTAACATTAACACAGAGTAATCAATGTATTGTTCCATGTTTGTTTGTATACCACGCGCAAGGTTTATGCACATAGTCCAAGTCTTCTTCTCAGTTTTTAGTGTATCTCTGTAGCAGAAATACAGCGCCACATGCTGGTCTGGCATGTATACTACATCGTTTTGTGTCAGTTTCGTGGTTTCGTGTGGACGCAGATATTTCTTGAGACGAGGGAGAAAAAAAAGATCGGATAGGGAAAGCTCTGGCTTCGTGTGGATGTAGCCTTAGTTGTTTAGTTCAACGTTCTTTCACAGGTAGAAAAGTCTTAATTTATATTGTAACATTAATTAATTTACTCTAGCACAGTAGATATCAGTAAAGCAGTTATGCAATGAAATAAAGTAAATATTAATATGTGACACATACAAAAGAAACATGCTCAGAATTGACGCGTTGACGCTGACAACCCGTGTGTGTTGACATGGTCAAATTTCATGCTTTCCATTTATAGAGTTTTGGCACCATCTGCCTTCCATAGTTTTCAAAAGGGTTGCATTTTCAGGTCCTCAAAACGCTCCTGTCATTTCAATAAACAGCCAAAACGCATAAAAATTTTACTTTTTTTAGTTGACGTCTAAATGATGACTGGGAGGCTCACTGTTTACAATTTTGGGGGAGATTAACCTATGAATGTCATACTTATATTAGTTAATGAACAATAAATTGGGTTAAGAGAATGCATTTTGACACAAAACTTCACCTCTAAGTATATTTTTCAAACTTAATCCACAGATAAAACCTACGTTGGAGTAATAAATCACGACAAGCTATTCAAAGCAAAAAATGGCCTAAGCTTCCAATGCAAGTCTCAGATGACTCTGATACTGGCAAGCTACTTCCGAGTCAAACTGGTGCCACTGCAGATTCAAGCCTTTGATCTGGCTAATGGAGCGTTTGGAAAAGGTACATACATCTCACATTGTAGACCGCAGAGATGCTATTTTTCACTATGCATATAAATGTAAACACATATATATTCTATTACCCCGGAATAACATGATTTCTCATGTCTTGATTTCAGAGGTGGAGTGCTGGGAGGATTACAACAAGCGCATGATCCCCATTATTCTGGGTGCTGTAGCTGCGGCAGTTTGCCTCATTGCCATTCTGACGTATGTGCTTGTCCGAGAACGCCGTGGCCAAGGCTATGAACAACTCTGAGACTCTACATGTGCATTGTGAAGATGAATCAAGAGATTCAGTTGTGTGCTTTACATTGTGTGGATATTGCTTTACAGTTTCAAACGATCTCAGTAAACAATTAAAATATGATTGACATGAAATATCTTTGATATTGTGTTCATTGTAGTGCATAAGTTACTCTTTATAGACTAGGGTCATTCTGATGTATGGAGGTTTTGGGCCTTGACAAGATATGTACATTCAAGGGAATGATTATGATAAGTGCAAGTTTACATGTGAATACGAAACACTTCTTGTAAAATGCCATGGGGGAAAAAATGCTGAACAACACATCCCATAGAGTATGACAACATGCCCTGCTTCTTTGTCTTTGGCTTTTTCATTGGTAGGCTAGAGGGGGAGAAACGCCCCTACTGTTTTTCCCAAAATAACCACTAGATAAAGTCAAGCTAAATTTTTGTTGTAACTATGGACTACACTGACACAAGTGATGTAGAAGTATTCCCCATGAAGCTTACGCTGGTGATTTACCTGAGGATTTCACAGTAAGTGATCTAATTTTCAGCAGCAAGAAATAAAAGTGTTTGAAAGCTTGTTTTGCAGAACATCACAGTTATATATTATATGAGAACAGTAAGACCTGTAGATAGGGAGCACGTGTTATTTAACAAAAAATATATAGTTCATTCATGAAACTCTAGATGGTGCATTCTGACGGGGTGTTAACGTAACTGATGATATTCAGAGAGTTAAACGACTTGGCACAAGCTGATTGGTTCATGCTGCATATGCAGCCAATGAGCTTACTGCCTTGCATTTATATAGCATTCACTTGAGATTCCTGCAGTGCGCTTTCAGAGTTCTCTGAAACCCTCCACCTTCCCCAGCTCCACCTGTATAGATCTGCTACGGGTTATTTTATATGCTATTTGTGCAGCAGCAGTATGTCTTAAATACTCATGGCACCGTATCGCCATATGCATTGGTAGTAGCAAGTTCCTGTGCTTGCAGCAGCAGCAATAATCTACAACTACAGCAATAACCAACAGCAGCAGCATAGCAGATCTGTTCCGCCAAGACCAAATACATTAACATTGTCATATCCATCACCATGCTAAAATCTTCTGAGAGTTGTCATGATTTAAATATTATTATATTTTCAGAATGACATCATTTTTCGAATCTGTGGGGTAAAACGCCCCCAGGGCATGGTTACTCTGTCCTGAACATTAAATCCTTTGTTTTTCCATCAAATGTACTCTATCTAGGTGGTTGAATAAAAATATTTGGACTTTATATTTAAAAAATGACCTCAAGTTAGCATCAGGTAGCTAGTTAGCTAGCCAGTTAGCATCAGCTAACAATATTGTTCAAATAGGCTAATATAATTTTGTAATTGATGATTATATTATTTTTAATTTGAAGCTAAAACTGCCTATACTCTGATTTTGCTGTAAATGTATAAAGCAAATTGCTTTCCCTGTTGAAAAAAACAGCATATGCTGGTTAGGTATGTTTTGACGCTGGGATGCTGGTTTAAGCTGGTCCTTTGCTGGTTTAAAATGGTCCTTTGTTGGTTTAAGCTGGCCCTTTGCTGGTTTGAGCTGGTCCTTTGCTGGTTTAAAATGGTCCTTTGTCGGTTTAAGCTGGCCCTTTGCTGGTTTGAGCTGGTCCTTTGCTGGTTTAAAATGGTCCTTTGTCGGTTTAAGCTGGCCCTTTGCTGGTTTGAGCTGGTCCTTTGCTGGTTGCTGGTGGTCCTTTGTCGGTTTAAGCTGGCCCTTTGCTGGTTTGAGCTGGTCCTTTGCTGACTTGTGACTTGAGCTTGTCGGTTTAAGCTGGCCCTTTGCTGGTTTGAGCTGGTCCTTTGCTGGTTTAAAATGGTCCTTTGTCGGTTTAAGCTGGCCCTTTGCTGGTTTGAGCTGGTCCTTTGCTGGTTTAAAATGGTCCTTTGTCGGTTTAAGCTGGCCCTTTGCTGGTTTGAGCTGGTCCTTTGCTGGTTTATGCTGGCCCTTTGCTGGTTTAAGCTGGCCCTTTGCTGGTTTAAGCTGGTCCTTTGCTGGTTTATGCTGGTCCTTTGCTGGTTTAAGCTG